ATCGGCATTTTTAGGTCCACTGCTAAAGACAGACACATACCGCCATCTTAATATGAGACACGTTTTGGATCGGTTCATTTTATTTATTTGCTTGCTTCATCTGCTCTATTACTAATCTATCTAATCTAACAATGAGTTAGAAATATATAACGCAAAGCGAAACTTTGTTTATCTCGGTGGTAGGGCCACGCAGCAGCCTCGGCTGCTGCACGAATAGGCAGGCCCGTCCGGATAAGTACCACGACCTCACAGAAGACCGGCGTAAATTGGAAGTATAATACTTTCGCATTTCGTCTGGTGAGTGAGGTGGCCGGAGCCCAATCTTCAAAAGGTTGTCAACGCATCTGCAACCCTCGGGTGTAGCAGATGTCTATGGGCGGCGGTGTTCACTTAACATCAGGCGAACCGTCTGCTCGCTTGGCAACTTTTCACATAAAAAAACCCAGGACGTATATTAGCGGGATCACGAGAACGCATCGGCATACTTCCGCATCACCACCAGCGCTTAACAGCCTCACCAGCCTCTCTCTATTCACGGAGTAACCCCCGCCAGGTAAGGTTCGCGGTAACATATAGCGCGTTTGACTTCTTAATCAATAAAGTCAATCAATTTCAACACAACGTCGGGGCTATTCATTAATTAATTTGGATGATAATTAAGATGATATTCTTGTTAATAGAGTCATAAATTCAGATTTACCCTGTCGGCGGATACCGTAACGTATCTTGTAATAAATAATTAATGAAATGTAATGTATGACCTATGGAGCGGGCTATGCTCGGTATTTCTCGGTATAATAGAGTTCGCGACGAAGACATCCGCAACAGAACAAAAGTAACCGACATAGCTCAGATGATTAGCAAGCTGAAGTGGCGATGGGCCGGCCATGTAGATCTTAGAACCGATAAACGATGGGGAATAAACGTTCTTGAGTGGCAGCCTCGTACTGGCCATCGCTGTGTAGCTGAATAATAATCTGCTAATCCTAGATGGATACATCACTAGATGGAGTGCCGAACTGAATGTGCAGGAAGTCCATGGATGCAGGTGGCTCTGGATCGATTTTCGTAGCAGTATGCGGGGGAGGCCTATGTTCAGCAGTGGACTCAAACAGGCTGAAAAGATGATAATTAGTTATGTACACTTAAATTGTAATTATTCATAAAACCCTAACCCGACGGTAATTCTTGATGTGAAAAACCTAATGCGGCGGTTCTGGCCGACTGTTGGCGTGACTGATAGTTTGAAATAAATTGTTTGTTTAATTCATTCATAAGCGGTAGTGCCGTTAAGTCTCGAGATTATCTCGGATATTTGAACCTTATTCCTTCCTCTGAGTAGGTCCATTTAGCAGTTGCGATCCAAGCGGGGGCTCGAACATTCCTTTGATCGTGTCGTGCTTAACCCCCACCCCCCCTCCTCGTGTTAGTCGATTCGCAAACTAACTAACAGCACAACTACACGCCCCAATACCAACTCCTTCCATTTGACTACAACCAACGTAGAGCTGTTTGAATCCTTGGGTGACCAGTTCTTTTCCAATCGTTCCTACTTTTGGCCTTGCGAAGACATGGTTATATTTTTGAAATTTTACTTGCAACTATGTAGAGGAGTGCTATGAGGAGTTGTTCGGAATGATATCTGCTGCTGAATTTCACCACCGTGCGTCGCTTCAAACTGCCAAATACCGTCGCTACCCGATGGTTGATGGAATGGCAGTTCACCACTGTGCATTTTTCCTTCAAGTTTCGACCTTTTAAAAGAGATCCTACCACAAGATGGCCCATCTATTCGTTTTCTCCTTTTCCATTAAAGAAATAAATTAGGCTGGGTATATATCCTGTATAGTCTGTGGCTCCCCCACAGGCCTACGTCCAGCAGTGGACTCAAACAGATTGAAATGATGATGATGATGATATATCCTCTGCTATTCATGCAAAGCGAAGCGAATCGGGGCGGGTCGTTAGTTTAATTTATAACTTTATAAGACGCGGGAGATCATTAGTTAAATAAGCCAATTAAGATGGGACACACACAATTCTATCAACTTTAAGTCATAACTGCAACCGACACACGTCTCGCGGCTCATCGGCAATTGCGAATAACTACGCGCGCCGCTTCCATAATTAATTACACTATTTCGCAACCTGACCGTAGCCCATATCACTGGCACGTGCCACATAACCCACGGCTGCACTTTCCCTTGTAATCGTACTCAAGGCTAATAACTTGCGTCGCAAACATCAACTTAAAATATCGCTGCATTGACGCAATTTACGGCATAACTCATTACGTGCAAGAGATTTGAGGCCCTAATACCAAGCGTATGTGTTTTATAAGAGACATATCATCGTTGTCATTTATAGAAAAGAAATTCGCCAAATTGAGATTTTAGTGGAGCAAATACATATGTTAAATATTAATATTGTTGTTGGTGTGTGTACAAGAACTGTGTAAATGTGCGGGAAGTCGATGGCTGCAGCCGGCTCAGGTACGACTTTCGTGGAAGTCTGTGGGAAGGCCTAGGTCATCAGTGGACTTAGCGGCAGGCATGGGTGTAGCAGCAGGCATGGGGGTAGCGACAGGCATGGGGGTAGCGGCAGGCATGGGGGTAGCGGTAGGCATGGGGGTAACGGCAGGCATGGGGGTGTCTGTCGCTCAATATGCGGCTTGTGACGTGTGCGTGCCAATTGCACCGGCACAGCACCATATAGTAGAGGAGGCCTAAAAAGGTCAAAGTCGCGCCGGGGTCGCGGAAGATTGCGTCCATGTGTTCCCGTGCCCCCGGCCGATGCGACAGAGACAGGTGCAACGTGGGTTTTTAGTGGGTACCCGTTCTTATTGGGACTTCCACATACCCCTGTCACTCCCCCGATCAAGTGGCAGGGGATCCATAAAGGATTTTTTCCACGAAAAAAAAAGAAGGCCACTGACCATTAGAGAGACACTTTTCAGATGGCAAAATATTTCGATTCAGACATATGTAACGATGCATAATATTTTTATTTCTAACTGATTATATTAAGTTTGTTACCAAATTACGATAGTGTTTTCTATTCACATAGATGTCATTTTATAGATCGTCGTTTCCACTTCCGTTATGGGTCTTGGACTGTCTTAATAATTTACAAATAAATACCGAATGTATTAACGTCAGTGCTCGTGCGAATTTGTTCTGGAATAATCAAATGGCGGAGAGATTGGCATTTAGAGAAACGTTTCTTATAACTTATGAAACTTTTAGTAGTTCATATAGGTACTTCCGTAATATAACTTAGAGTACTTGACTCAATAGACATTGGTATTTTTGTATGAACCCCGGGCAGTCATCTAGTAAATGGCCAGCTTCTGGATCATAGACAATATTTTTTTTAATGGAAAAACGTGCAAACATGCAGGAGGCTTACCCGATGGAAATAACAATAATTAAAATTAAAATAGCATAAGAACAGTAACTAAAAAATTTATACCGTTTGCCAGTACTCTTTGTTTGTCAAAAATGGACATCGAACACAATTGATTATGTATATACAAATGCCAAAAGACTTACTTATAACTACAAAAATTTGGTGAAACTTGATGGCGTTTATCACCTCGGCTTACATCATTGGAGCTGTGAGACGTTCAAGTCATATTAATTTTCTTCGTTTTTTCTCAGCTCAGATTATAAATCATCGGTGAATAAGTTTTCACATATCAATACGACCAAATTGTTCCAGATATTCTATAAAATCGACTCGTTTCGAAGACTGTTAAAATTTATCTAATTGGTATCATCCATATACCCCTATCAAAAATATTGTAGTAATTAAATAATGAAGGATATAAAACAAATAATCACAAGAAATTTATTAACACATAACTGTCATTAAAATCTTTATTTAATTCATTGTATACATTTAATAAAAAATTAATAAAAAAAATACAGAAAAAAATTTTTCTTTAAAAAATTCTCAGGTAACCTACGCGTTGTATATTTGTAATATTCGTCTTATACTTCGCCACATAAAAATATCTACTTTCGAATAACAAAAAAAAATATATACAGGAAATTTTGTATGTTTATGTATCATTGTTATTTTTTGTAAATAATTTTAAAAAATGTCACAGCGCCCTTAAAAATAACATGTTAAAGATCCCTAAAAATATACGTAAATTATTTTTTTTTTCTTACATCAATGTGAAAGACTTTGCGGTATTCAAGGTTTACTTATATTGAATTTTTCTTCTAATGAGAAGTCGAAAAGAATTAGAATTTCATATAACTTCTTATAAAATATAGGAGTATTTATCTATCATCTAGATATATTACGATTCTATAAAAATATATTTATGCACATTTATTCACTATCTTCCGAGAGATCACACCGTAGCTTCCATTATTTTCTTATCACATGACCGCTGTCCTCTCCCTGTAACATTATAAATTGGCAAATTATACATATTTACAGCTATATTATTTATTATTGCAGTATACAAACGCAGCAGCTAATGCTCTTTGTAAAGGATGGAATGTTCATGCACAATGACAATTCGTCCGGAAAAGTAAAGTCCGCCCCAAAGACTGACGTAGAATTGGAAAAAAGCTATTTCAGATTTTCTGGTAAAGGAAATAATTTAAAAACTACCGACCCTGTATGTAATTATCAGTCCCCATGAACCAGTTCTTCGTTTGCAAACGCTTCTTATAAACAGTAGTTACTCAAAAATTTACTAGATTAACAAACAGATTTTTTTCTGCTTGACTTGACATCTTTATGCTAACTTAGAATTTTAAACGAATGTGTAAATTATACATATATATTTTAATATATATATATATATTAAATCTGTATAAACATTTTTTGCTTACGTTAAGAAACATCACTATCTATCGGTTATTGCAAAAACTATAGTTTTAATGAACAACAGCGCCATCTCTTAGCTATGACATGAATTGACTCCAAATCAAACGCAAAAATGGTTACTAAATAACGCACCTGCACGCGAGATGGCATTAGTGCGTCCGTCGCACATCCCGCTCGGCCTTCTCTTGTCGCTTGAGGTCATTGATCGCTGTCACGCTGCCGAATAGCACTTTCGCCGTCACTTGCTGCAAAATGCGTATAATTGCACGTCAAAGACCACGTTTGACATAGGAGCGTTAATTAATGTGCATACAATCTAAAATAGTTGTATCGACCTATGCAGACCTTTATAACATTCATCTGTGATAATGTGTCGGCAATTACTTTCCAGTTTTAATACGAAATATACATTTCGTTTTTTATACATCTTTGATTAAAAAAAAAAACTTATGACGTAGGTTCTCAAATGTTTTTAGTGTAAAGTAAATGTAAATTTCGTGGGAACTGCATCTAATTATTTCGCATTGTTTCTCAAATACAATTTATTTATGGAGTTTGCTCTAACTTTTCTTATTATTCTGGAAGATTTATGATTTATTTAGTTAAAAATATTGAAAAAATAGGAAATGCCATTAAAATGCCATTAAAATATTTCCATCATATTCTTATCAAGCTAAAAATAAACAAATAATATGGACATGTTTCTTTACAACTTTTACATACGCATGTAATTTTTGCTTTCTGTTATTACTAAAAGGGAAGAAACCGACATTTAAGTCACAGAGATTGAAATTATTCTTTTCATTATATCGTTTGCTGGAGTAGACAAATTTTAATGACATTAAATATTTACGTATCGTAATTTAGGGGTTATAACAAAAGTCGCCCATTGTAAGAAATGGGATCGTAAGTCATCAAGTAACATTTGGTTATTCAAAACTTTAGAGGTTTGGCGGAGAGACTACTATTATGGTAGTATGATAACAGATTGTTATGTGTTTAGCATATTTATTTCTATTATAATTCTAATTGAAAACTTAGTATATGTTATTAAAATAAATGTTAGTAAAAAATAAATTTTATGTCAGTAAAATAAATTATATTTTCAGAGCTAATGTTAGTTCGTTCATGTAGTTTGTTTCGATGAGTTTAAATAGTTTCAGAGATAAAAAATACACAAACAAATTGACATCTTTATAAAGCTATATGCATTAACAAACCGTAAATACCATGTTATTAAAATAATCTTGCAACATAATTAGATTTTTAATAACTTTATTGGGATTCATTTGTAAAATTACTTGTAAGTATTGCGAATTCACGTTTTTATAAAATCGCTGAAGCAATATAAAGTGCCCTAAATATTAATTGGGGATGAATATCGTTCAGGTGCCGCTACTATTGCGTGCGAGGGTTTTAGATGCCTTCATTGCTCCCAAACAGGTGTGGTTTGTCGGCCATTTTGTTTTAAGTATTTTTTAGAGACTAATGTGCGGTAGGTATATTAGTTTTTATTTATAAGAAATTGGGTACGTGATTAAAATGCAAAGATTTAATACAAGGTGTAAAGTTTTAGGGTTTTGATAGAAATGTCTAATAGGTGTGTACTACAATATGGGGTTGTGACGTAGACGAATATAGTTAACAATCGTTAAAGGTTGCAACGTACGTACTTCGTACATATATAATGATATTTCAGATCAGCTTTAAATTATTATTTTTAAATTTTAATTCTTTTCAACCTAAAATTCTAACAAGAACCTAATAAAAGCTTGTTTTTAAAAAGCTTATTTTCTTTTAATTTTTACTAGATTCAATCACAGCCTGCGGCAGATCATATTTGTGTAAGAATCTATGTATCGTAAAAAGAAGTGGCTATATAATGAATCGGAAAGAGAAAGAAATACAGACGGTAGCGATATGACAGCGAACCAATCGGTTACAGTATTACAAGCGTTTAACTGAATGCTCGACACGCGCAGGAACGAAATTTAATGCAATTTAACTTGTCCAAATTACAAACACGCGAACACGTTATTTACCTCTGCGTTGCTAAAGCGAGCTTAATTATATATTTGCGTCAATAATTTATGTCCACCTGTCAGCTCTACGAAATTTCGAATAAAATTAAAAACATTTTTTTCTAAATTTACGAGACTGTACCAAAATGTACCTGTTTAAAATCTTTGTCGCGTGTTGCCTTTGTTGTATTTGCACGAATTTAAAATAATAATCTTTATTAAGTATGTACTTTCTTTATAGTTATGATAGAACTTCCTTATTTCAAACAATTTAATCAGATCTATTAATTACTAAGTTGAATTCTCCAGCGACTGCGAAGTCTGTAATATTAATTAAAATGAGACTAAGTTGAACATCCACTGTATCGAATTCCATCAATCAAATCGTATTAAATACAAATTTATTATAGTTCTAGATATTTACAGCTCACAGAGGGAGAAATCCTGCCACAATTCTCATCTTGAGTGTTAAATATTCAATGCAAAACGGACAGTTTATGAAAATATGACGAAGGATGCAATTCAAAACAGCCGATTGCCAAAGCCAGATTGCACATTCAGAAGAAAATCGCATCAGCATCCCCGTCTCGTAAATAATATAATACAACGAACATTTTGGCAGAGTTGTTCCGAGTTGCAAACATGCCTTTGCCAAGAGTCTTTTGTGCGAATGCAGCCGTATATTATCGGGTTCATTCCATAAAAGCGACAATCCTTGACCCGTTGCTATTTGATAAAACGTATGAGACGAGTTAAAGTAAGTGAAAATATTGAACAAGACGGAGGATCATAATGACGAAAGTAAATTCCAAAAGCTGTCACCAAAGCGAAACACCACGATTATATGTATCAGCGAGCTTTCCACGGTCCGGATGACACAATCTACAGACTGAAAGCGATTACTTTTCAAAAATAATGAAACCCATAATTACACAGAAAGCTTTGGCGTATTAACTAAAACCGTACATACAATGTTTCACATATTTTACCCCTGACGAGAAATTTAAGTCGGTTTTGAATTATCAACTGATAAGTTTCATAATAATGTATAATTAACCATTATTTTAATTATTTGACTATTAGTAGAGGGTTCGGCCATTAGTAGAGAATGATTTGATTATAAGTTCGATCCCCGGTGCCGGCACCAATGAAGTTTTTAACTTTAAGTGCTGACTTATCACGGTGAAGGTCCGCCAATCCGCAGTGGATCTGCGTGGTGGACTATGCCCTGATACCCTCTGTATAGAGGAGGCCTTTGCCCAGCAGTGGAACATGTATAGGCTGTTACTTTAGTAGAGGGTAATAAAATACGTTTACAGATGTTTTCTTTTGTAGAAAATGGACGACAGAAAGGATATTCATGAATAGAATCAGAAGGTGATTTGTTGGATTTCATCAGTGAGGAGAGAATAAGCTAATTGTCTGAGATCTACAATTCGGAATCCTTTCCAATCCTTCTAGATTATTAAGACTATCAATTATCCGTCGAATCATCCGCTATTGTACTCTTCAGATTTCTATTGTAATATTCATCCGAATTTTAGCGAATTGTCTTGTTCTAAATTATTGAATTTAATTGTATGTTATTTTGATTTTCAATCGATTGGAGACTACATATTATTATATAAGGCACATGTATTAACGTATTCAAGACCCTAATTTTCTTGCAAATTCTTTTTATATTTTTTTTGCTAATTTCTTATATTTACGCGTATATTAGAATAAAATTAAACGAAACTATTTTTACGGATTTATCTAGTTTATTTTAAATATCGCAGGAGACCGAAGAGCTGGCAGCTACCTCGGAAAAAGAATTAGTCTAGCTATTCAAAGGGGGAACGCTGCCAGTATCTTCGGAACCTTGCCCAAAGGGACTCCATTTAATAATATATTTTAGTTATACATGATTTTTTGTTTTTTTAACGTCTTTAGTTTTAGTTTCATTGTTCTAGTATATATTTTGTATTAGTTTATCATTTGAATGTTATTTATTTATGTAGTTTCCTTATAGCTTTTTACTAGATATAATTTTTAAGACTGATTTATAATGTAACATAAGGTTTATCATTTTAAATATAAATTCCCAACTTTTCGAATGCGTTACAGCGTTCATGGTCACGGGATAGCCTGAGGCGATGGACGTCCGGGTGTCATTGCTAACTTCCCCTTATTGACTCGCGACCAGTCCCCGGCTTCACGCGTTTTTGTTTGTTTCTAATGTGTTTTTCGACATCGCATTAGAAACTTCTAAAATTACCAGTGTTTCTCTAATATATTATGCATGAATTACACCGTAATATAAACCGTCCTCAAGAATTACTCCATCTATTAAAGAAAACCGCATCGAAATCCGTTTCGTAGTTTTAAAGATCTAAGCATAATATATGATATAAGCATATATAAGGTCAAGCAGACAGCGGGACGATTTTGTCCTATACTACGATTTGAAAACTTAATTTAAAAACTTCTAAAACCCGTCGATCGGTGCGAGTTCGATCCGATTTCCGTTGCACCACACGACAACCTGAGCGTCGGCCGTTGGAATTCAGCGAAATCCAAACTGCCCGGGTCGCGTTGCGTCGGCTTAACGGTTATTTTATACGGCGCTGCCGCCGAGAGTGCTCCACATTCTGCAATTATGACATCGCGCCGCGCTCGACCGCGATCCGCGCCGATTGGAGGCGGCGCGACGCCATCGCTGAGAGGCAACCGTCATCTTTTATCTTGTATTAACTGATGTTTGTGCTCTCAGTCCCGAGACTATTAAAGCTTCATCTGACGCAGAACTAGTGGGCTAGCCAGAACCCACGGGCTTGGGCCCTCCGCTGTGGGTAGGGCCGCGCATGTGCCCATGCGTGCGTTTAACTACGGCATGTCATCTAAGGGCCATCGAGGTTGCGGTGCGGACCGAGACCCCGATGGCCGTCTACTGTGTCGCGACCGTCAAAATCGCCGAATCGAAATCGCAAAGCGCCCCTTTTTTAGCTGAGAAAAATCAACGAAGCGTTAAGACTGCTTCATTCACGGTAAATCAGCGTATATACCGACTGGTTTCGGAAAGTCCTCAGGTTAGTGGGATGTTAACGGGTGTATGTACCGACTAGTTGTGTGCTCAGGGTGAGTGGGATGGGACGTGTTCGGTCATGCCCCGTCAGGGCAAGGTCAACCCACTCACCCTGACGTAGGAACTCCGATACGTCCGAAACTAGTCGGTAAATACACCCATTAAACACGAAAGCAGCCGTCTTATTATTTCATTAATAAATTCTAACCAAATCTCATAGTAGTCTATTCTATTTTAAAATCTAATAAATCGTTAAAAGGCCATCTTGCTGGTAACATACCAATCCCATTAAAGGCCGACACTATCTTTAAAAGCTCCGACTTTTGCCTTGAGGCTTTGACCTTTCCACATTGGAACTGGATGGAAAAACGAATGGTTAAAGAAACTGATTAGTGATGGTTTTGACTTTTAGACGCAACTGTCAAGGACTTCACCAGTTAGTGTTCTATTGGGATTAATTAGACATTTCTGTCTGACTTATGTTTGTACGTTAAAACCGAGTTAAGGTTATGTTAGCTATCCGTGAACCGAAGATGAACTAGCGGGAGCATAGTTGATTTTGGAACGATTAGTTTTGTAAACTGATTGAAACTAATAAAATCGGGATATGAGGTAGACCAGGAAAGTTTATTCGATGCACAGAAGTCTACTAGCTACGAGTTTTCTATACTGGCCCCAGAAATTGAGAATTGTAAATCTTGAGGTAAAATTTATATCGACGGGAGAAGCCTCAACAGTAACCAAAGTCGACTTATCACGTAGTAACTCAGCGCGCCAATAAATTATTTATGCGGAGTCAGACAACATGGGTTCGGGTTCTCCTTTATTATTTGACTGCGGGTTTTTTTCCCCGATTATCGGTCAGATCGCGAGGGTCTTTACGGTCGGGCAAGTTCCGCAATGCGGATTTTCGCGGTCCCTTTTCTATATGAATGTGTTCGAGGAAGTAAATGACAGAAGACTTTTGAGGCAATTAAATAATATCATCATCATTTCAGACTGTTTGAGCTCACTACTAAAGATAGGCCACATACTGCTACACTGTATGCTCTCTTTTGCATCGTGAGTTTTGTGTACAATAAAAATATATATTTTTTTTTTATGTGAAAAGTTGCGAAACGAGCAGACGGTTCACCTGATGTTAAGTAATACCGCCGCCCATGGACATCTGTTACACCTGAGGGTTGCAGATGCGTTGACAACCTTTTCAAAATTGGGCTCCGGCCACCTCACTCACCAGACGAAACGCGAAAGTATTATTCTTCCACTTTACGTCGGTCTTCTGTGAGGTCGTGGTACTTATCTGCCCATTCGCGCAACAGCCGAGGCTGCTGCGTGGCCCTACCACCGTAAATAATAATAATAGTACCTGTAGGACCGAGCTTTGCTCGGTTTGTTTTTTTTGTTAAATCATATATTTTGGAAATTACATTTAGATACAAATTACTGAGTAATGAAATATGCATAGTATTTTTCGATCTTACCAACGTAATAATAAGAAAATATGAACTGGTGTTTTTCACAAAAGAAAGATCTTTAAAAAAAAGGGAAAAAATAACAAAATAACAAATCGACAAAAAATAAAGAAAGCAATGATCTGGAATCGAAAAAAAGTAAAAAAAATAAGTGTGTAAGTGATCGTGATACGAACTACGGCCGTCTGTTTTGGGGCCGCCCGATTACCGACCGAGCTATTATAACATTTTTCTTGCGGCGAAATTTACCGTCATATTCGAATGATATTTTTCATTCCCTGAAAACAGGGATAAAAGGACATTTTCTAAAAATGAAACCTAGCTAGATCGATTTTTCGCCCGCGAATCTACGCACATACTAAATTTCATGAAAATCGCTGGAGCCGTTTCCGAGATTCCGATTATATATATAATATACAAGAATTGCTCGTTTAAAGGATAAGAGATAATAAAATAATGTAACAAAATATTACAAAGCATTTATGAACATTATAAACTTATTGTTGGCTTGTAAACTTAGGCCGTTCATATACTCGTACATGACGTTTTGGGTGAGATTTACCGTATTACTTGCCCATCCTATGTGACGAATACAATAAGTTTATGTAGTATGTAACACCCAGGAATGAATTGAATCTTATGAATGATACAACGAAGATACTTTTTATGTCTTTTCGAATATAGATTCTACAAATCTTTTACCACACTTCTTTTATTGCACACATGTAGATGAATGGTACAGAGTGGGGTCGCAAAAATAGTGTGCACTACGTTTGCTTATACCTGGTAATTGCCGCCGCCGTTCTTGTTCGGTGGGGTGTACCCTCTGCCCCCGTAGCCCGCGCCCGCCCCGCTGTGGTACAGGGTGTTGTTATTCGCGTCCCGCGTGGTCGCCGCCGCGTACGTGGACTTGCAATTCTGCGACATTCTCCAACTGGAAAAGGGAAAAGTTCCTTTGTTATCCCCCACCGTACCGCCAAACGCAACGGAACGACTCGCGTTCTCAGTCGGAATACGATGATACAACCACCACGCTTAATGCACGGACAGTATTCATTGGCTGCCTTCGTCGGGAGTTAAAACCAAAAATAAATGCGATAAATCCGTAAACATAGTCTCATTTAGCAATGTGTAATCGCGTACATAAAATTATTATACCCTCCAACAGTTCGATCGTTTCGGCGTCCGAGTTCGATCCCCATGCCATGCAGGCCGGAAACAAACTCTTCTTGGGAAACAAACACCCAGATCCGGGACAATTATCTGTGCGTCACACAAATATTTGTCCTGTGTTAGAAAGGTAAAGGAAAGGAAACCCACGACCCCGACGCCGAAGCCAATCACTTATCGACGGCGCCAGAAGTCATTCGTGGAAATGTATGTTTAAAATGAATGAATAATGAGTGTTTAAAATTAGTCTTCGTTCATACCATAATTCCCTTTAAAACTGTAATGGTTAAAACAGAAAATTATCCAAGACAGGCAGAAAAACAATATTTTTAATCTGTTAGCAATGACAAATTTAATTAATCATATTAATATAGTTTGGAGCAGTATTTTATGTATTATTTAAATGCTTTATAAACATACTTAATTGAGACCAATTAAAACTTGTCGAAGGAAAAGTTTCTTCGTTACGAAATGCTCAGCTTCTGCGTCACGATTCAGGCATTTGATTCCCAAACCCGAAAAGTTTGTGCGATGTACAGATAACATGATCTCGACTTTCATTATTTGTAATTTGACGCCGAATGAATTATGGAAATTGAATGAATTATGACGACTCGGTTGGAGCATCGTCTTGAGTAAAAGTTTTAATAAAACCGTTTAAAAACTTTTAAGTTAAACGGCTTTATTTTATGTGCACTTAAAACTACAATATTGTATTGTCATCTAAATTAAATGTGTGTACCAAATTTCAGATCAATCTGACAACGGGAAAGTGCTTAAATTTCAATTTCTAATTTTGACCCAAATAAATAAACAAATTCCGTACGAGTCGAGCTAAATAAAACCGTTTAAAAAGAAAATTTATTAGTTTTTTTACTACAAAAAAGCCACTACTTCAAAAACTCTAAAAGAAAAAAAACTTTAAAATAGTACTAAATCAAATCTTGAAAATCTAACCTAGATTTTTTTTGTTTACGTGGGGGAAATGCGTACGCATATCCAAACCTAGATAACCTAACCTACCCATCTTATAACATAATGTAACAATTTTCGGAATCCGACCAAATGAGTGAGATATTTGAAAACCGACTTCAAATATCATCGTTTTGAGGATTTTCCTGGTATATCTGCGGAGTCAAAGGTTAAAATTAATTAATTTAAATGCAATTAAATTAATATGGGACCACATGGGAGCCAAACTGAACCCAATGAAGAACAATTTTTAAAATGGGTTCTCAAATTACCGAGTTCTGAAATAAAAAGAAATACAACCGAATTGTACAGTTGAACCTTTTTTGAGGTCCGTTAAGAAAGCCAGAAAGGAACAGAAACTAGATATGACCATGGTGCTGCTCGCGTGGATTAGGTAAATATTTACCGTAACCTAACCAATGAAAATCCTGGCTAGCGAATCACAAACACACACAGACAGACAGCGGTTGCCAAATTCTGAGCGCGAATTCTCGTTGGCTGTAACCGGTAACGTTCTCAACTTAATCTGAAATAACGAAACAGCCCGTTGACTCCGTTTAAATTGCTTAAAACCGAAAGCTCCCGAAACTGTATCGAGTGTCTTTCGCGTGAGTCAACTAAGAGCGCCGCCTTGATTTACTTCTGGGTATTGATATTAAAAACAACGTGCAATGCTCAATTTTAAAAACGGAGGCCGGTGTTTATTGTAGGGCAATCATTTTCGGAATGTATCCGATTACGTTTATTGGAGTTTCGCGTATTGCACCACTAAATTTTCGTACACAAATTTAAAAACACAGTTTTTAAATGGAAAAGGTGGTAAACGAGCGGGCTGGCTAACTGGCGGTTAGTGTTCACCGCCACGCACGGATCCTCGTAACAACAGAAAGAAAGAATGAAAGAAAACATTCATCGCACAAATCCAGAGGAGTCACAAAGACGTTGTCGGCCTTTGAGGGAGGATTGGCTCTCTTCTTCACATACTTGTATTTTGTCACAGCACTGTCAAAACCTGTATAAACCCAACTGTGCAACTGACAATTAAAATTGAATACACACGAATATAAAGATGTTCATAAAACGCCTCATACCTAGAACTTTATTCGTGTCTTATACAGATTGGTCAAAAATTCATAATTGATGGGAGGCTGTACCGTTCCCAAAGGCTTTAAATAAGCCTAAAACAAAACTATATTGGCTTAGTAACATTACTGAATAGTCCAATTTTTAAAACAACAACTATCGAAACCATATTACACATATTATACCGAGGGAGAAACAAATTTTAATAGACAAAAATGGGGAGATCAGTTTATTTATTTATTTTATGTTAAGAAACGTGTTAGTTGTCGTGAAAGGGGAAGCGGAGTGCCTCACGTAATTTAAAAAAGAGTGCTCTTAACAAAAAAAAAATACTAAAGTACCGAAAATACGGCGCTGCCTTCGTCGAGCGTGGTGGCGGCCAATTAAAAAAAAACCGAACCTGTCCAAAAGTGTAGCAAGTTTGGTAGCACGGTACAGTTATTAACAGTAAATGTAATACAAGATGGACAATTAAACTTGCGACCCAGGTATGAAGCGTACGGCGTTTTAAGACCGTTTTAACGCACCAAAGAACGCTTTTAGTACCGGCTTTTATTCTCGGCTTCGCCAACTTGGTTTTGTCGAAATGAGAAAATAAATAAACTCTTACGTTTCTTAACCCTGACGCAGTAGATTTTCTGCTTATTTAGTTGCCAAGATTGACTGGAAGGGTCTCAGAAAAACGTCTGTTAGTCATCTTTAGAATGTCTTGATGAATTTAGATACGTTAATAGTTAACGTGATATTTGTTTCGTTCAAACGCTTCGATGGACAATGGTTCATTCACTGCGCTTTGCAGTGAGAGTTAGTGTAGTTATATTCTTTATTTAAATCTACCATCAATAAAGTGACTCACATTAGTGTGTACAGAAAAATGTCTTCCAGTTCGACTTTATGAATGAATTTTTAATCGATGTTAAGTTGAAGAAGCTTTTATTTTATTTATATTTAACATAGTTAACTATACTTTTTTTTTCCTGACAATTCCAATACTGGATCTGTTACTGCTAATTATCTGCGAGGGCTAAGTATCAGCTTATGGTAGCACCAGTATATGGTAGCACCATTGGCAGGCAATAGGCAGGCCCATATGGTGAAGTAGCATGGCCGCCCTGAGTACCGGTATGATGCAGCAAGAAGTATCATACTTTCGCGTTTCGTATGGTGAGCAAGGGCACCAGGGCCTACATTTATTTAATAAGTGGGCAATGTATTTGCAATCCCTCAGGTGTTGGAGATGTCCTTAGGCGGCGGTAATCACCTTAGCATCAGGTTAACCGCCGCTCCCTTGCCAACTTTTCGAAGAACGAAAAATGAAGCAATTTCATAAAAGAATCTCTATTATTTTTTCAAAAATTATAGAAGATAGCTTTCGTCCCATAAAGAGAAAATATTTTTTTGGTATCAAACACTATGGGTGGGGCAAAAGTATATAATTACACGTTACTTGGTTTGAAACTCAAGAGCGTGAAAAGTGGTGTAAATAAAAAAGCTGTTTACATATTTTTTGTTTAGGTAGTGTTAGATTCTATTACCTTTATCCTGTTCCCTATAGTTGCCTGGAAGAAACTGCAACCTTACCAATAGGGCCGTCTGCCAATATTTACACTTCCCACTACTTGAGTGCACTAAAGTATATTCTGTGTTTCAATATTTCGAATTTTAATAAGAATTTGAAATGATACATTAAATTAGTCTTAAAACATTACACAAAACAAATCTCCTCTTGTCACTTAGTCCTTCCCGGCGGCACCAGATTTTAGAGGCCACATTGTTGCATGAGGTAACATTGCGGAAATCTTAATTTCGTATTAAATAAATATTCGCCGGCGAAACTTAAATACTTCCTGATCTCCTTACCGCCACATTGGTTCAGTCCACTTCCCCGATAAGCGTCGAGTAGGCCATTAAATTTATCACGCCTTCGCTAATTAATTACCATTATTAATTACTATTACCGTCATAATAAAGCCAAGCCATGAGAACGTATATATAATGTCAATTGTTGATAGGCTTTTCATAAGGCTTTAAAATAGCTTACGATTATTAAATAATGACATATTTTAAATAGCGTGTTTATATCTTAAAACATATAAATAACAAATATAATTATTTTTATAATAAATAATATACATAATATTGTTTATAATGAATAATATATATAATGTTATTTATATTTCAGAGAAATAACATAGCGATAAAGTCAGAGCTTAACATTTGTAGTGGTAATATGAGTTCTGTGTTAAGTTTTTCTCAATTCTAATCTTAGTATTTATACTATACACAAAAATCCAAATGAACTAGCATTTGGTTCTAGCATTACTATTGTTTGAAGAAACTAAATAACAAATTGTGCCGTTCTGGAGCCAAAATATTTATACAGCACTCATATATAACTAGCACATTAGTAACATGACGGTGATATTTTTTTGCAATTTGATTCAGTCTTACCTTTACTATTATTCCTTTCCTATTTAATTAATTTTATATTCGGATGACCCCGTGGCGTAGTTACCAAAGTTTAAGGCTTTAGCGCCGGGGCTCGTGGGTTCGATTCCCACACGAGTTAACTATTTGTGTGACCTACAGACATTGTTTCGGATCTGGGTGTTTGTCCACGTGGAATTTATGTTTGTAGAACGTCCTTACAACACAGGATAATGTTAAACAGTGAGGGCAATGTTATTAAAAAAATGAAATAA